TGATCTACTTCTGAAAAATCTGCCACTGAAAACCCTATGGAGCAGAGTTCTAACACACATGGGATCTCCAAAAGTAGAGTCAAATCCATGGTGACTGGTTACTGGTTATATCTCTTCACTTCACCCAGACTCCTTCCTCAGGGGGAAACACGGTATTCCAATCTGATTCTCCTCCCACCTTAACCCAATCCCCTGAGAATGTGGTGTTCTTGGTTTTACGCCCCTATTGACTGAGACTCCATCCTCCAGAAGAGGCTCTGGCCTCCTTTAACACTTACTTGGGAATTCTGATTTCCCCCAGAATTCAATCCTGGGTCAGCACTCCCCACCCCATCCCTTCATGGAAGATTCAGCACTTGACTGACTGTCATTCCCTCTACCAGCACTTCTGTCTGTCATTTCATTATTTTTGGTGCCTTCAATATCCATGGAGATAATCCATCAAGCACTTTGATCAATTCCTTGACTTCCTCACCTCCAATGATCTGTTCTCCCTTTCTCTAGCCACTCTCTCCCTATGTCATACCTTTGACTTGGTTACCACCACTAACTGCCACACCTCTAAAATCTCATCTTTTCATGTCATCCCTCCAGTATCCCTATTCCAAAAAAATTTCAACCCCACTGTGATGGTTAAGATTGTGTGTCAACTTGGTTGGGCCATGATTCTCAGTGCTTATATGAGATCACTCCCGTGACTGAATTTGCTGTGAGTAGCCAATCAGCTGAAAGGGAGTTTCCTTGGAGGTGTGGCCTGCATCAAATATAAGCAGACTTCTGGCCTTTTTCTTGCTCTGGATCCTGCAGCTGCCTCCTGTTTGTCTGACTTCCAGTTCTTGGGATTTGAGCTATCAGCTTATCTGCCAATCTTGGGATTTTCGATCTTCACAGCCTGTGAGAGGAGCCCTACTCTCCAACCTGCCGATCTTGGGTTCACCAGACCCTGCGGCTACATGGATCGGGAGAAGCCTCTATCCTAATCCAAGGACTTGGGACATTCCAGCCTTTACAATCGTGTGAGCTGTTTCTTTGATGTAAATAGATATGTATATATATTTATACACTTTACTGGTTTTGCTTCTCTAGAGAACCCAGCCTAAGACACCCACCTAGCTCTCCATCTATTGGCTCTATCACTATTCATTGTCTTTCGATTGTCTCAGTTTCTCACTTGGCTCTATATTCTGTTGACCCATCTCCTTTTGAAACACTTTGTTGGTGGTGGTGGTGGTGGTTGCCATCAAGTCGATTCCGACTCACAGCAACCTTATGTGTGTAGAGTAGAACAGCTTCATAGGGTTTTCAAAGCTCTGATCCTTCAGAAGCAGATCACCAGGCCTGTCTTCTGAGGCACCTCTGGGCAAGTTTGAAACATCAACCTTTCAGCTAGTAGTAGCTTAAAAGTAGCTAGTAGAGTTTAACAGTTTGTGCCAACCCGACCCCTGCCCCCCCAATACACTTTGACTCTGGTCAAATCCAACTCTGCCTACTCCAACAGCTGAATGTGCCTGAAGAAAACACACACAATCATATTGACTGATTTCACTTCCAGTGGGCCTGCAAGCCCATATTTTCCTAGTAGGTTCACATCCCCCAAATCAGAGACCACAGTTTCACAAGATGACGACCTTTCTTCCCATTTCAGTGACAAAATGGGAGCTTTCAGAAGACAATTTCCTCATGGTCCCGCCCCAAATCCACCAGCCTACCTGCATCTCTGCATATTCACTGCCTTCCCCCTGTCACCACAAAGAAAGTGATCTGTCCTCCCCAACCCGCAGTCTGTTCATTGGGGCCACATTTCTTCTCACCTGCTAACCTGCATGATTAGTTTTCTCCTCTTTTCTGAAACATTCCCATTATCATATAAACATGCTAAAATATGCTTCATCTTTGAGGGAAAAACAAAACAAAACCTCTTTTGATACTTATCTATGTAGTAAAACACAACGTTCAGAATAGTTGTTACCTCTTGTTGAGAGAGGAGATCTGATTGGGGAGGGGCACTCAGGGAGTTTCAGTGATACTGGGGACATTTTATTTCTTAAGCTGCACGAGGTTCATTTAATTATGCTTTGTAATATGCATGTATATTATATATGCACGTATAAAGAGCCTAGGTGGTGCAATGGTTAAACGCTCAGCTGTCAACAAAAGGGTTCGCGGTTCAAATTCACCCAGCGGCTCCACGGGAGAAAGATCTGGCAATCTGCTCCTGGCAATCTGCCTTCATAAAGATTACAGCCAAGAAATCTCTATGTGGCAGTTCCACTCTGTCACATACAATTGCTGGCACACAACAACAACCACACTGCTTGGTACAGAGGAGGTTTTCAGTAAAGATTTGTTGAATGACTAAATGAATAAGTAGCTCATGGAGTTGTGTGAGAAGATGAGATGATATATATGAGACACCTAGCACAATGCCTGGCACATGCTGAGAGTTCGGTAGAGAGCAGCTCTTATCATTAAACACTTCTCTGCTGCAAAGTTGGCCTTTCGCTGCCTCTGAAAACCCTGCCTATAAGGGAAGCACAAGCGAAATGTTTCAGGAGCAAAGAGGAGGGAGGAACAATTTTGACACAAATCCCAGCAGAACTAAAAACCACAGAAACCACCAAAGCTAAACAGAAGGGGAAATTTATTTAGCCTTTGGAAGACTAGAATTTTTGTGTCACATTCGATGATAAATGGCAGAGAATAAGTGCAGCATATGGTTCCATGTGGTAAGCATGGAGTGCAGAGAAATGTGAGGGTGTAAAAACTTCCAGCCAGCTTGATGCCTGGTGAACAGCGCCACAAACGAATATTCTGGGAAAGCTGAGATTGACATGCTGGAGATGAATAATACTGAGTGTAAAGTGACTTTGCTTTCTTTATCTTTCCTGCCTCATGCTGGTTCCTCCACCTGAAAAAAAAAAAAAAATCCCTTCAATCCCTTCAGTGTCTGCATGTCAAAATCATGCCCATCCTTCAAAGCTCAACTTTCCAAACTCCTTTGTGACACTTTTTCAGATCACTCTCTGTTGGAAATTATATTCCCTGCCACTTGTCCCTTTTGCCCTTATACCTGGGGCATTTGTTAACTATGACCCTTTATCCATAGTAGACTGCTGGTAAGGATCCTGTTGTATTTCACTGATGAATTCCAGGTAGTCAGTAAGGATTATAGAACCAGTAGAAAAAGACTCGTACTCCACCCATTTAGAGGGCAAGTGTCATATGCGTGCAGGGACAACGCCAACCAACCACCACCTCACAAACTACCTTGCACCAGCCTTTGAACCTCTCCTTGGGCTCTGCCTTCAGTTTAGATTTTTTTTTTAAGTGTAGTTTATTTTTTAAGGAAGCTATCTATGTAATTCTGCACTTTTTTATTGTGGTAAAATATATATAACCAAACATTTGCCATTTCAACATTTTTTACATGTACAGTTCAGTGACATTAATTACGCTCATGTTGTGCAACCATTATCCATTTCCCAATTTTTCCATTGCCTTGACAGAAACTCTGTGCCCCCTAAGCAATGACTCCCCCTTCGCCCTTCCCTCCTGCCCCTGGTAACCACTAATAAACTTTGGTCTCTATACCCTTGCCTATTCTACATATTTCATGTAAGTGTGATCATACAATATTTGTCCTTTTGTGACTGACTGATTTCACTCGCCATAATGTTTTCAAGGTTCATTCATGTCATAGCATGTATCAGGACTTCATTTCTCTTTCTGGCTGAGTAATATTCCAATGTATGTATATTTCACGTTTTGTTTATCCAATCATCTATTGATGGACATTTAGGTTGTTTCCACCTTTTGGCTATTGTGAACAGTGCTACAATGAACATTAGTGTACAGGTTTCTGTTTGTGCTTATGCTTTCAATTCTTTTGGGTATATACCTAAGAGTGAAATTGTTGGGTCATATGGTAGTTCTTTGTTTAAGTTGAGGAACTTCCTGACAGTTTTCCACAGTGCCTGCACCACTTTACTATCCCACCGGTAATGGATGAGGGTTCCAATTTCTCCATATCCTCACAACACTTGTTGTATTACATTTTATTTTAAATCATACCCATCCTAGTGGGGGTGAGGTGGGCTTTTACTGTTGTTTTGTTTTGCATTTCCCTAATGACTAATGATGCTGAGCATTTTTTCATGCGTTTACTGGCCATTTGTATATCTTCTTTGGTGAAATGTCTATTCAAGTCCTTTGCCCATTTTTTGATTGGATTGTTTGTTTTTTTGTTGTTAAGTTGTATGAGTTCATAATACATTCTGGATATCAGGTTAGATCTTTAATGAAGGCAAAACTGTGCCCTTGTTGGGTAAGGCAAGGAAAGTAGCAGAATGTGGCCAGATCCTCTGAGCCAGCTTGTAAGGAGGAGTCTCAGAAAGAAGGAAGGGACTCCAGGTGGTTGTGTAAATACATTTATTTTCAGTGTTTTATTCTCCAGTAGGAGGCTGGGTGGCACAAGCAGTTTGCGATCAGCTGCTAACCGTAAGTTTGACATTCAAACCCACCTAGCACCTCTTCAGAAGAAAGGCCTGGTGATCTGCTTCCGTAAAGATTACAGCCAAGAAAACCCTATAGAGTAGTTCTACTCTGTAACACCTGGGGTTGCCGTGAGTCGGGGGTGGACTCAACAGCAGCTAACAACAACAACAATTCTCCAGGTAGGAGTCCTGGGTGGTGCAAATGGTTAACTATTCAACTACTAACCAAAGGTTGGCAGTTCAAACCTACCCAAAGTTGCCTCAAAAGAAAAGCTTGGTGATCTGCTTCTGAAAGTTCACAGCCTTGAAAATCCTATGGAGCGTAGTTTTACTCTGCACACATGGGGACGTCATGAATTGGAACTGACTTGATGGCAGCTGGTTTTTGGTTTGGTATTCTCCAGGTAAATCCTCAGAAACGTGACAGATATGGGTTTCCCCTTGAGAAAGGCATCAACTGCCCCCTATAGTGAGGAGGGGAGAATTTTTCAGAATGAGACTCCCTTTTGACAATCACAGACAGCAGAATCAGTGTCCCTACCCCAAGTCCCATTCTCTCAGATGTCTCTTTGACTTTGTTAACCCAGAGCTTCCCATAATTTCCAGAGGTGCCTGTATGCTCCTCCCTCCAGGTTAATTCCTGCAACACCAAAGGCAGAGAGTGGGCAGAAGGACACTTGTAGTGAGAGGAAGGGTTTGGATCTTGTCACCTGGGGAATGGTGAGAATCCTTTTCATCTTTCCTCCTCAAGCCTACCCTTCTTCCATTTCATTCTCAAATCTTTAGGGGAAAAGGAAGAGACGTTGCTTCTTCTTCATTCCGGAATCTAAGCCTCTGTCTCAATAGATAAGCAGTTTTTCATTTGTCTTACTCTTCTTGTGTCTTCTTCAGACCCCATGTTCTCTAGCAAGGCTGGGGATGTAATCCTTTTGACTTGTTTCTGTTTTCCTTTCTGAGTCCTTGGTGGCTGCCCCCAGAAGGTTGAGCCCTGGCATAATGAGAGTCCAGGGACAGGAAGCTGGGAGAGAGCAAGTAGTGTGAGTCAGTCAACATTCATACAGTATCTATACTTTAGGGGAGAGCCCTTATACTCTTCTCCATTTCTGAGTATTCATATGGTGGCCCCTTTCTAGTCCTGTTTTTCTCAAGCTTAGACCTGGGGGAATCCGCAGACTTGTGGCTATCTTCTCTGGGGACGTCTGAATACTTTTCTAAAGATTTAAAGTTTTGTGCTTTCATTTTGATGGGTTACTTTTAAAAAAATGAAAATGTTTGCACCTTGGGTGATTTAGATTACTCTTTCAGGTATTTCAGTGCTTATGTCTGTGTTTGTATTTATAATCAGAATGGTGACAAGGGATCCCCTAAAGAGACAAAGCTGACTGTTTAATTCAGTGTTTCTCAGTATGAGGCCTACAGGTATGGTTCTCTGAGGTCCAGCTCCAACTCGTTCTTTAGATGGCAGCAAAAATGTCACCTTCTCAAGGAATGTTCCCTCATTGCCATTATTCACATTCATAGCACCTCACACTTCTTCATATCACTGTAATTACTTACTGTCTTTGGCCAGACTATAAGCTCCAAGAGGGCAGGAACTGTGTCTGTCTCATTCACCTACGTATCCCCAATTCCTAGCATGCTGCCTGGCACATAGCAGGTGCTCGATATACATTTGTTGACTGAATGAATGGAGAAGGAAGTGAGACACAAAGGAAATAGGAAACAAGGTCCTTGTCCTGTGGAGTGTGCTGGAACTGAAAAGTACACACACAAAACAACTAGAGAACATTAGAAAGCAATACATTTGTTAACAGAGTACAATTTATTTTAGTACAGAGAAGCTGATCATTAAAGGGTCATTGTAGTGACCCTCTCAGTTAAGACACACATTATACACACCAGCAATCTTTGTCCAGGGATTAGGGTGTAACCAAATCTTATGTGACTCATTTTAAACTGCCAGCCTTTCCCTGAAACGGTAAGGAGAAAGGGGAGGGAGGAAAGGTGGATTAATTTTTGTTAGGAGCCCAGGGAATCCAAGCATCCGAGTAGTGGCGACTCAGCCTGTACAGGGTGCTGGACTAGCAAGGCTGAATCACAAAAGGGAGGAGGACCAGTTTTCCATTGCTACAGCAATGGAGCAGGTTATACCAGTTGTACATGCAAAATGTAGGACAAACTGAAGGGGCACAGAACAAGGAGTCAAGAGAATGGGATGAAGATATTCTAGAATCACGTTATTCAAAGTGTGATCCACGGACCAGCAGCACTAGCATCATTTGGGAGCTTGTTAGACATGTAGAATCACAGGTCCCAGCTCAGACCTCCTATATCATAATCTGCAAGCCACAAGTTCTCCAGGTGATACGTGTGCACGTTAAAGTTTGAGAAGCACTGTCTAAGATTTCTTGATGTAGGAGAGCTTGAAAAGCCACAAGGAATATGATCGAAAAGGTAAAGAGAAGTCTCAGGTGGCTCTCCAAGAGAATAGGGCTGTCAAGGAGAAAAAGACTTGAGGGCTTATCTTGGAGCACTCTGGGACTGAACGGTGTAAGGAGCAGGCAGGGATTGACCGTGGCTGGGAGCCCTGGTGTCAAAGCGGTTAAAACTCGGATGCTAACCAAAAAGTCCACCAGCCGCTCCCTGGAGACCCTATGGGGCAGTTCTTCTCTGTTCTACAGGGTCGCTGTGAGTTGAAACCGACTCGACGGCAACGGTTTTGTTGTTTTTTTTTGGGGGGGGGGGGCGAGGGTGGTTGGAGCCCGTAACGGGAATAATAAGAGCACAGGCGGGTCTGAGGTCTGCCAGATAAAAGGACTGGTCTGCCGCTACTATCATTCACCACCACCCCCGCCACCCTCCGACCCACCTTCATTCGCCCAAGTCTCCCATTCCAAGACTTCTTCAGACTTAAGACTCAGAACAACCTGGCCGGTCAGAATCCTGGCCTAAACTGGTTGCTAAGGCCTGGAGCTTCCCTGTTGAGTGGGAAATGATGTCACGCCCAATGGGCGGGGTAACCAGACTCCTTCCTTCTCCCGATTGGCTGCCAGGAATTTGAGTTGTTTCGCCGTCTTGCGGGTCGCGGGGTTGCCTGTCAGCTTCTCTCCGGCTTGCCGGTGCCTCCCAGACAGTCCTCTCCACTTGGGGCAATACTCTGAGGACCGTATTCAGTGAGCACTTAGCTTCGGAAGGAGACATATTTCGAATGGCCCGGTTATTGCCACCGGAGAGGCGCTTCGGCCTCTCGTGTGTTTTTTTATCCTATTGGCTTTCCGTAGTTGGGGCGGGTACCTGAACAACGCGGGGAATTGTGGAATTTATGGTTTTAGATAAGGTCGTGGTGCAACGGAGGCTCGAATAGGGCAGAGAATTTGGGGGTGAGTGGGTGGGGGACTTTCAGCACCGGGGGCCTGGTTCTGAGAGGGATGGGCGAGAGAGGAATCTAAATAAGAATTTTGCAATTGGCATTGTTTTGATTTTCTCTTCAGCTGCTGACCTGAATCTGGTCCCACCCTCTTCGACTAAAACTACCCGCCCATGGTGGAAGGGACCAGACGGCCAAATGGAGATGCCACCAGGCAATCCAGAGGGAGAGAAGGACACCTCACAACCGCAAGAACAATGGAAAAAGAACTCCCGGGAGAATCTTGGTTCAACTACTCAGATTAGGCAGCAGCCCAGAGACCCTCCTACTGAAATCCTTGAGCTGGGCCCAGATCCGATCAGTCAAATTCTCGAGAATCCTCAAGGGACTGAAAAACTGGCCGCTGAACTTGAAGGAGACTCTGATAGGTCTCATGGATCAGCCAGTGAGCTGCCAGAGCCCTTTCAAGCTTCTAATCTCTGGCACTGTCCTGATGGGAGCTTCATCAAGAAGATAGTAATCAGCGGCCAAGGATTGGATAAACCCAAGCTGGGCTCCCGCTGCCGGGTACTGGTTTTGGGGTTTCCTTTTGGGTCAGGACTGCCAGAGGGCTGGACAGAGCTAACTTTGGGGATAGGGCCGTGGAGGGAGGAAACTTGGGGAGAGCTCTTAGAGAAATGTTTGGAGTCCATGTGTCAAGGTGAGGAGGCAGAGCTTCAGATCCCTGGGCACCCTGGACCTCCTGTCAGGCTCACACTGGCCTCCTTCACTCAGGGCCGGGACTCTTGGGAGCTGGAGGCCAGCGAAAAGGAGGCTCTGGCTAGGGAAGAACGTGCTCAAGGCACAGAATTATTTCGAGCTGGGAACCCTGAGGGGGCTGCCCGGTGCTATGGACGGGCTCTTAGGCTGCTGCTGACTTTACCCCCACCTGGCCCTCCAGAACGCACTGCCCTTCATGCCAATCTGGCTGCCTGTCAGCTGCTGCTAGGGCAGCCCCAGTTGGCAGTCCAGAGCTGTGACAGGGTGCTGGAGCGAGACCCTGGCCATTTGAAGGCCTTGTACCGAAGGGGGGTTGCCCAAGCTGCCCTTGGGAACCTGGAAAAAGCAACTGATGACCTCAAGAAGGTGTTGGTGATAGACCCAAAGAACCGGGCAGCTCAAGAGGAGCTGGAAAAGGTGGTCATTCAGGGGAAGAAACAGGATGCTGGGCTGGCTCAGGGTCTACGCAAGATGTTCGGCTGATTAAAGGTTCAACCTTAAAAGAGACAGAAACCTGTGACTTGTGGTCTGTGCTGTGAGATTTTTGGGGGGCTTAGAGGGAGGGTTTCACCCCATATCCCATTCCCAGCTTCTGTCTTCCTAGAGGAGATAGCAGTGGTCTCGTTGCACCTCTTTACCTTTTTAAATTTTTATATGGTTACGTGTGCTTCATTTGTGTGTGTGGCGGGGGGAAGGGGTGTTGCTTGTCAATTTCCAACGTCTAGGTAGCTGTCTGAACTTAAAAACTTAGGAATGGTTGAGGGAAAGGGCGGATCTTTAAATCCTGAGGACTACAGCTCCCAAGAGGCTTTTTATCGCTGGGACCGGTTTGGCGCATGCGCAAATTTTACACCCGGGTACGGTGGAACCGCCGCCCGCCTTCTGCCGTGCTCCTATTGGCCGGGCCTGTACAGCCACCTCGTCTATTGATCCATGTGCTCAGCACCCCGGTCTCTTAATGGTCGGTAGAGCTTTCGGGACGCCCTTTTTTTTTCAAGAGTCAACTGATTAGTTACGACGGGGAAAGGCGGGCCTTGGGCACCGTCTGATGGTTGGGGGGTGGGGGGGAAAGATGGCGGAGCTAATGCTCCTCAGCGAGATTGCCGACCCGACGCGTTTCTTCACGGACAACCTGCTGAACCCGGAGGACTGGGGTCTGCGGAGTGAGGGCTCGGGGATGGGAGGGGGCTGTGGCAAACCGTGCCCCTGAGGCACACGGGAAGGAAGCGGAAGCCCGAAGAGGAAGGCTGGGCAAATACGGAATCCACCATCTAAGGGAGGGCGGAGCAGGGGGGCTCGCTGTGCGTTCGAGGGCTGTGGGAGTCGGGGAAGACCTCCATTCGCTGCTGGAACACTGAGTTGTTCCGGAGTCGGGGAAGGAGGAACAGAAGCTCTATGGCTGTATCACTTTTCAAGTGGGCGGGCGGTGGGTCTGGCAGGGCCGAGCCAATGAGGGATGGGCGGGGGCTTGTGTGCCTATCTGTAGGCTGGGCCACTGGACGACCCCTAGACGCTCCTCACCCTTTGCAGACTGTACCCTGTATACTGGCCTGGATGAAGTGGCCGAGGAGCAGACGCAGCTCTTCCGTTGCCTGGAGCAGGATGTCCCGGTATTGATCCCCCAGCCTTGTCTCTAACCCTTGGTGGGTGGGAGTGGGCCTAGAACCGGGACTCATCCCCAGGCTAGGTCTCATCTGAAGCCACTCCTTCTTTCTCACATTCTTCCGCTCTGATTCCTTCCCTTTTTCAGTTTGACAGCAGCTCCCTGGACGTGGGGATGGATGCTAGTCCCCCTGAACCTCCATGGGACCCCCTTCCTCTCTTCCCAGGTAGAACATCCTTTGTGGTTTCCTCATCCTTCCAGAAACCCTCATCTTCTCACCGTTTCCCAGGAACTATGAAATATATAATTCCCTGTATCCTCACACCACCTCTCTGTAATTACCATGCACTCTTCTCCCCTTTAATCCCTTAGGTTTGTTCCTTTCCCCTTTTTCTAGTGGGGGAATTCCCACCCCCATGCCCTTGGACACTTTCTGGACTCTTCTCAGGCTCTGCTTTCTGGTTATTTTCTAACCCCTTTTTTTTCAGATCTTCAGGTGAAGTCTGAACCATCCTCCCCCTGCTCTTCCTCCTCCCTCAGTTCTGAATCATCACGTCTCTCCACAGAGCCCTCCAGCCAGGTGAGAAAGCCCTGTCCTTGTACTTGCTCTCTGTGGCAGGGACTCTGCTCCATACCCTTCACCCATAGGTACTGATGAAATGATTTGTGTGCTGTGAGTCCACAGGGTGAGGTGCTCTTCTTCCTTGCCTTTGCTGTTTCTGTGATGCCTTCACATCTCCATTCTGTCTAAAAGTGTAAACAGAGTCTTTTCAATATACAGAGATATGAGTAGCAGTGGTGGGGCTGGGAAGAAGAGAGTTGTTAATTGCTGAAAATTCTGGAACTGCTTCTTGCCAGGGTGCCTACTCTAAGGCAATATTTGAAATCTTGAGACTTCAACCCTCCCACAAATAGAGTAGAAAGAGAGAATAAGGGACCAGAGATAGCTTAGGGAGATGCTCCGTACCATTCAAACCAGAATGTTGAACAAGTGGTGATTTGTAAGCACTGAAGCTTTTGTTCTTGCTCTGACTCTCAACACCTCTCTTGTTTTTTTTTTTCCCCCCTTCTTTCTGCCTCCTGCCCTACCCCTACTCTCACCCAGACCCCTGGTGTAGGGGAGGTGCTGGATGTGAAGACAGAGTCCTTAGCACCCCCATTCTGCCTCCTGGGAGATGGTCCAACATCCCCATTTGGAACCGTCCAGATCAATGTGGGCCCTACCTCTGATGATCCCTCAGGTAATAACAGCCTGCCACTATCCCTAGTCTCCTAGTCTTGACCAAGGTGGAGTGAGAGTGTATGTGTGTGTGTATGTGTGTAGATGGGGGCAGCAGGACAGAGAGGAAAAGGTGGAGGGAGGGGAAATGGCAGATAACCAAAAAGAGGCCAGGAGGGAGAGGAAGAAATTTAGGAAACCACAGCAAGGGCAGTATTGAGGAGATGGAGATGATTTTTCTTTTTCCTAGTATCCTGTTGTGTGATTTAACTTCTTACGATTTTGCATTTTTTTTAAAACTTAGGAACAAAATTTAGGGCATATCATTTATGTTACTCCCCCCCCCACCCCACCCCCAGCATTTTATTATAAAAATTTCCAGATGTACAGAAAAGGTGGAATACCATATACCCAACTCATAGATTCTACAATTAACGTTACTTATACTCTTTAAAAGCGTTCTCAAGTTTATTTTCTCTTGTGTCAGTAAACATTGGATTGAGCACCTACTCCATGCCAGGTACTGGACAGGGTGCTGGGGATGCAAAGGTGAACAAGAAGTGACACCATGCTGACTTGAATTTTGCAGTGTAGTAGGGTGGGGGGGCAGGGGGGTTGGTGGTAGAGGAGAAAGACAAGTATCAGTCAGGACAGGTGTGGTATCTCTAGGGTAGAGCTCATCAGGGTGTTCCATGAAAGTTTATAAAAGGGGGTGTCTTAGTTTCCTAGTGGTGCTGTAACAGAAATGCCACAAGTGGGTGGCTTTAAGAAACAGAAATTTATTTTCTCACAGTTCAGGAGGCTAGAAGTCTGAATTCAGGGCAACAGCTCTAGGGGAAGGCACTCTCTCTCTCTGTCAGCTCTGGGGGAAGATCCTTGTCTCTTCCATCATTCCTCAGTTCCTTCATGATCTTCACATGGCGTGGCATCTATCTTGTCCTGTTTGTGCTTGGTTGTCTCTCTGTCTATACTGCTTTTTGTAACTCGGGAGTGATTAGGTTTAGGACACATTCTACACTGATAGGCCCTCATTAACATAACCAAGCAAACCCCATTTCCAAGTAGGATTATATCCATATGTATAGGAGTTAGGATTCCAGCACATGTTTTGGGGGACACATTTCAGTCCATATCAGGAGGCATCTCACCTGGATCGGGGCTGTAATCTTTACAGAGGCAGACTGCGGCATCTTTCTCCCGTGGAGCAGCTGGTGGGTTCGAACTAGCAACCTTTTGGTTGGCAGCCAAGCCCTTTAACTACTGTACCACCAGGGCTCCTAGAACATAGGAGTGGAGAAGTATAGTACACCCATCCAGTGGCACTGTGGAAGAAAAGACCTGGTGGTCTGCTTTCATTAATATTACAGCCAAGAAAACACTATAGAGCAGTTCTGCTCTATAACACATAGGGTCACCATGAGTTGGAATCAGCTCGACTGCAATTTAGGTATTTTTTTGAGGGTCTGTATTTATCACTTTGCTAGACATGAAACATAAGGTATAATCCTTGCTTTTGGAGAGTCTTGTGAGGGTTGTAACATGTTATGGTTAAATAGTTCTAATAGTGGTCACCTCTGGAGAGGAGGGGACATGGGTGACTGGGGAACAGAAAAGAGAAGGAGATTCACTTTTGACTGAATTCCTTTTTGTACCTTTGGAATTTTGTATCGTAGGACTGTATTACCTATTCAAAAATGTAAATTGAGTTGAAATTATAAAGTAGCAATATTAGTTGACCATGTAATTACCAAAATGAGTGGTGTGAACCAGAGGTGGTGACTGACTGGTGAGCTTTGGGCTGAATCTGGCTCTCACATGGGTTTTGTTTCACTCACATGGAGCCTAACGTTGGTTTTCATGGAGCGATCAACAAGTTTTTTAAGATAATCTGAACAGAGACCATGCAGGCTCACAGGTGACTGGGCTTTGAGATTAGGTGTCTGGGAGGCTGACAAGGTGAGCAGTCCAGGATGGAGGGGTGATAACAGCATTGGGATAGTGGCTCAGTGTCCCAGGGCTGCCATGAGAAAATACCACAAGTGGGCAGTTTTAAGGAACAGAAACTTATTTTTCTTACAGTTCTGAAGGCTAGAGGTCCAAATCAGGGTCTCAGCTGTTTCAGCCTCTTCTGTGGGCCTCTCTCCTAGTTTCCAGGGGCTGTGGCAATCCTTTGTTCCTTTGCTGCTTATAGATGCACCTGCCTGTTGTCACATGACATTTATATTCCCCCTGTCTGTCACTCCCTTTTTGTAAGACACTACTCAGAATGAATTAGGGTTAGGACCCATGCTACTCCTGTATGACCTCATTTGACCCAACTGGTAACAAAAGAAAAACTGCATTTCCACAAACAAGATCACATTTATAGGTACAGAAGTTAGGACTTCAGTATATCTTTTAGGGGGACATAATTCAATCCCTAATAGATAAGATGAGATGGAAATCCAGGAGGATAGGAATTTGGGCCCATATGAATGCTGGAGATTCCTCCTGCTTGATCCTCCTCTATGTGATTGGACTAGGTCTCTGAGGACGACAGGGACAGGCAGAAGGCTAAGATAGCCTGAGGAAAGTTGAGCAGTGTTGAGAAAAATCAGAGGAGCCATTGAAGGAGAAAGGAAAATGTTAGGCAAAGAAGTAGGAGGAGAGCCAGCAGATTAGCAGCTGAATGTCTTCTTCGTCTGGATTGCGTGCCTCGGGCCAGAATGGTATATTTTAGGGATTTAAACTCCTGCCCACCTGAGGTGGATGTAAGTATTACAGAGGAGAAGAGTAGGGTTAGTAACAGGAAGGGTCATTTAAGGAGAAATGACTGTCTCCCATTTTCCCATCTTAATCCTCTTTCCCTTCAGCGTTTATCTGCTAGCCAGTTGTTTGTCTCATGCTTTCGCCCCCCCACCCCACTCCCTGCCCACAGATGTACAGACCAAGATAGAGCCTGTCTCTCCTTCTTCCTCCATCAACTCCGAGGCTTCCCTGCTCTCAGCAGACTCCCCCAACCAGGTGAGCATCAACTTCCCTTCCTCCCGCTGCAGGCACTCCAGTGAGCTTCTCTGACTCTCAGGGGTATGAGAGCTTTCTCTTCTTTAGCTCCTTCTCCTTGCCACTCCTGGCTAACATCTCTCTGGAATGCCCCACGTAGGCACTCCTAGGAGAGGAGGTACTGGAAGTGAAGACAGAGTCCCCAGTCCCTCCAGGGTGCCTCCTGCAGGATGTCCCGACCTCCCCATTTGGAGCTGTCCAGATCAGCATGGGCCCATCCCCTGATGGCTCCTCAGGTAATTGGGCCTCCGGCCACCTGGGGTCCCTGGCAAGAGGCCTGTAGTCCTGATCTTCCTTGCTTTCTTCCTTCCTCTCACTTTCCTGTAGGCAAAGCCCTGTCCACACGGAAGCCACCACTGCAGCCCAAACCTGTGATGATAACCACCGTCCCACTGCCACCCAGAGCTGTGCCTCCTAGCACCACTGTCCTTCTGCAGCACCTCGTCCAGCCACCCCCGGGTACTGAAGAAGGAGAGAAGGAGAGGGGCTGGATGGGTCTTCTCAGGGAGCTCACAGCTTCTAAGGCTTCTAGCCCTTAGGTGCTCAGGTATGGGTGTGGACACAAGAGCCCTGCCTGACTCATGGCTCTCTGACCTCTCTCTCCTGTTCTGTTGCTCCAGTGTCCCCAGTTGTCCTTATCCAGGGTGCTATTCGAGTCCAGCCTGAGGGGCCAACCCCTCCTGCTCCACGACCTGAGAGGAAGAGTATTGTCCCAGCTCCTATGCCTGGGAACTCCTGCCCACCGGAAGTGGATGTAACTATTGGGGAGGAGAAGGGCAGAGTTGGTAATAGGAAGAAAAGAGAGAAGTTTGTCATGGGAGAGAACTGTGAAAAAAGGGAGCTGAGAACTAGGAACAAAAAGTGAGGCAGTTGACCTATAAGATGTGGACCCCTGTTTATATATGAACATCAACCCCGTGAAGTTTTAGGGTCCTCAGATTTGCTATCACTACAGATGGCGAAATGGGGGTGGTCCTCAGTAGAGCAAAGGCAGGGAAGTCACACTGTATTATCGTTGAGACAATAGTTGGGGAGGGGGAGAAGCTGCCTCCTAGGGGAAAACCAGGTGAAGAATTCTTTAATTATAGCAAGATTAAACTTTGGACTTTAGAAAGGAAGACTCAGAAGAAGGAAACCCACCAAGGAAAGGAACCAAGGTTCTACCAGAATGGAGGAAGTTCCTCCTGCAGTCTAACTTCTCCCAGCTTTGAGGAACAGGAGCAGGGAGTGATTGAGAGAAGGATTCCTACTCTGGACTGCTTTTGTAGAGAGGAAAAACTCCTTTCTGGCTTTATAGGTGGGGGTTGTAAGGCAGGGGAAGGGCCCATGTTAGCTTTGGGTGGCCAGTCCCTGGAATTGGAGGCATGGTCCCCCTCTCCTACCCATCTTTCATTCTCTTTTTGATCTCCTGGTTGTGTAGGCAAAGCTGCTGAAGCGGCAGCAGCGGATGATTAAGAACCGGGAGTCGGCCTGCCAGTCCCGCAGGAAGAAGAAAGAGTATCTGCAGGGGCTGGAGGCGAGGTTGCAGGCAGTGCTGGCCGACAACCAGCAGCTGCGTCGGGAGAATGCTACCCTCCGCCGGCAGCTCGAGGCCCTGCTGGCTAAGGTAAGGCTGGTCTGTCCATGGGAGGCCAGCAGCAATACGGGCTTCCTTGGGATGCCTCACCCTCCTTGTCTCTTTCTTTGCACCTTAGAACAGCGAGCTCAAGTTGGGGTCTGGAAACAGGAAGGTGGTTTGCATCATGATCTTCCTTCTCTTCATTGCCTTCAACTTTGGGCCTGTCAGGTGAGACCCACCCCACCACCCCAGAACCTTCTGTGGTGGAGCCCACCCTTGCAGCGCCTGTTTGCCTGCTTTGTCGAGTCACTCATTCCACGCACACACAGACGGTTGTGGTCACCTTGGCACCGATGGTGTCTCTGGCTAGCCCCTTCTTGCTCCATCATTTCGTAAATTGTACGTCCTGGAGGAGATGATGGTGCTGATGTTGATAAAAATATTGACTTAAGCACTTAAAGTGAGTTCTAGGCTGTAACTTAAGGGTTCTCCTTTTCTCATGTGTCTTGGCTCTGTGAGGTAGGTACTGTTCTCATTCCCGTATTACAGATGAAAGACAGGCTTGTAGAGCAGACTGGGGTCCAGGCAGTCTGCCTGCAGAGCCCTCGTTCTTACCCAGACGCTCTCTAAAGCGGGGATTCCTCCTTGTGCTTTGTCCTTCTTCCACAGCATCAGTGAGCCTCCATCGGTTCCAGCCTCTCCTCGAGTGAGTGGGGAGGAACCTCGGCCCCGGAGACACCTGCTGGAGTTCTCAGAGCAAGAGCCAGCTCTTGGAGTCGCACCCGTACAGGGCTCCTCGCAGGGGCCTGAGGAGCCCCAGCCCAGCCCTGCAGGCCGACCCAGTTTTAGGTGAGGAGAGAACGAGGGCCCCCTCTCCTTTGGGGGTGCCCTTTCTTTTTGGGGAGAGCCAGAGCTGTTCTCTTGCTGTCATTGCTTTGTTGTCTGTCACTGTGGGAGTGCTGGCAGCCTCTGATCGTTGCTTCCTCCTGGTCTCACTCCAGGAACCTGACAGCCTTCCCCGGGGGTGCCAAGGAGCTGCTGCTGAGAGACCTGGACCAGCTCTTTCTTTCCTCTGATTGCCGTCACTTTAACCGAACTGAGTCCCTGAGGTGTGGGGGATTTATGGCTGGGGCTGAGCGTTTCTGCCCCTGCCCTCCCTGCCTGCTTCCCTCCCTCCTCGAGGCCCCTCCACAGATGGCCTGGCTGTCCTCGTGTGCTGAAGCACCAGCTCTCCTTGCCCTCTTGTCTCACTCCTGTATGCGGGCAAGGAAAGTGGGAGTCTTGGCCTGGCATGGTGGCATGAACCTTCCTCTGCCTTCCCAGGCTTGCGGATGAGTTGAGTGGATGGGTCCAGCGCCACCAGAGAGGCAGGCGGAAGATCCCTCAGAGGGCCCAGGAGAGACAGGTAGGAGGGGTGGGGCTGGTACAAGGATGGGCACATGAAGACGAGGGCTAAATGTCCTGCGGATTTTGAGTGGGTATCTTGTTGTGGAGGTGTGAGGGATTGTTTGGGGTAAGTGGTGGGGTGGATGTGAGGTGACATCAGCTTCCAGGGGCTGTCTGTCTCTTTCCCTTTTCCCTTTACCCTCTCCAAATCCTTAGATACCTCTCCTTCCAGAAGTCTCAGCTATGGAAGAAGTTGCCTCCAGTTAAGGCAGTCCCCACTCAACCCCCAGGGCCCCCAGAAAGGTGAGTACAGGAAGAGGGTGCTTGTTGGTTAACTGAGGCTCCACTCTAAAGAGCTGTGCCCCTAGGAGCTATCCTGTGCTCCCTGCTGTTCCACCTGTGGGATTATGCTCTCTTATTCTCTGGGGCCTCTTGTCTCTTTTTCTCTCATCCTCTTCCCCCTGCCCCTAGTGGGAACTGGGCCCTGGGCTTAGATCCTCCCAAATCCTGTTTCCCACCTGCCTAGGGGTTCTGTGGGCCAACTGCAGCTGTATCGCCACCCAGACCGTTCCCAGCCGGAGTTCCTGGATGCAATTGACCGGCGGGAAGACACATTTTATGTTGTCTCCTTCCGAAGGGTGAGACTTCTCCCTGCCCTATCTACATTCTCCTGTGTTGCCCAGCAGTCTGTCTTCAGAGGGACGGTGTAGAGTAGGGCCAGGGAACCTGTTGGTATCTTTTCCTCCATTCTCCTGGCCTGGCCCCTCTATTTCCCAGGATCACTTGCTGCTCCCAGCCATCAGCCACAATAAGACCTCTCGGCCTAAGATGTCCCTGGTGATGCCCGCCATGGCCCCCAATGGTAATTCGTTCCCTGCAGGGTATGAGAGGGTTACTCAAATTGAGGAAAGGGGAAGTCCAGATGGGGAGATCCAGCATGGGGAACTGAGGAGGAGAATTAGGGAGAGGAGTGGAACATCCCAGAGAAGTGCTAAACTCATAGGTGAGAAGAAGCAGGAAATGGGTGGAGAGAAAAACAATTCAGGAGACTTTGATGGGAGGAAGATGGAGGTGCTGGTCTTCCTTTGCCCAGGGTGCTTGGGTAGGTGGCTGGGCAGAGGGGAGCAGGCTGGGAACTTGCCAGACTCTCACTTCCTATTTTCCTCTTGACTTCCTCACCCCTGTGACCCCACTCTTATCTATGTCATTTTCTTTCTTTCTCGCTGCACCAAACTCCATCCCTGCTGTCCCCTTCAACTCCCCACATGGAGCCGCCTTCTCCTTGCCCTTTCCTTTCCTCCCTGCACACCTCTACTTTCCTGGCCCCTCCTCTGTATGTCACTCCTGACTTTCCCCTTCTCACAGAGACCCTGTCGGGCCGGGGGGCCACAGGGGACTATGAGGAGATGATGCAGATCGAGTGCGAGGTCATGGACACCAGGGTGATTCACATCAAGACCTCCACGGTGCCCCCCTCACTCCGAAAGCAGCCGTCCCCAACCCCCAGCAATACCACGAGGGGCCCCTTGCCAGCTCCTGCAGGCAGCCAGGCCCACCAGGCCTCCCACCAACCCCTCTACCTCAGTCACCCCTGACCTCGACAACTCACACTGACTTCAAATTGGGGAGTGGGGACTAGGGGTGACCAAGTGGGAATATTGCTCATTTCCCTGCTCCCGGGGCGTGGGGCAATCTGTCGAGGAAAGACAGGATATGAGGGTCAAGCACTTATTCGGAGGTAGGGGATTCACCTCTCCTCTCACCCCCTCTCATTTCGGTGGACACTCAGTCCCTGCTTCCTCCTTTGAGGGCATTAAATGAGCTTAAGTTTGGGGGTGGGCTCCTGCATACTTTTTATCCTTTTATTTGTCTGTTTGAGGGATGGGAATTGAGTCCCCAGGTGGGACAAGGGAAGTTTTACATTTCGGAGTTAGTTACTGGGAGTAAAGGAGGGGTGGTGGGGGGAGATCAGGTTTATGTGTGTGCGTATCTTCTTTTTTATTATTAAATAAACAATTTAGAGGGAGTTGAAGGAATGGTGGTTGCCTTCCTGCTGGGGTTGGGGAGTTTGGGGGAAGGTGTTTTTTATAGGGGCCAGCATCAAAGAACCAAGTACTGAAGACACAGCTGGCTCGGGTGGATTGGTTGTGGGATCACAAACTTTATGTCGTCCCCTTGCCCCTGCTCCTGCAATATGGGTATGTCTGTGTCTAGCAGGGGATCATGGGGTGCGGGGATGTCTCATGGTTTGATAAATCAGGAGATACTGATCTCCGGAATGTGTCTGAGTAAACAGGAGGGACGGGGCCCCACGCCCTTCAGGGTGAACAGCCTCTCTGGGTCCCCTGCTCTAGAGCAGGTTCCCTTCCCTCCCCTCGCTTTCTAGGGTGAACAGCTCGAACAAACAACATGAGCTGGGGCCAGAGGGCCCTGAGCTCAGGAAGCGGGGGACCACAGTGGAGAAGGGGGTAGTATTTGGGAGGGAAGGGGGATGTTGGGGGGTACCCTCTTAGCCCAGAGCTGGAGGAGACAGACTTGAGAGTCCAGGTGAAAGGAAAGGACGTGAGCAGGTCTGGCAGAACAGGCTGTGCATTCTGATTATGGTGAAGGGGAGCAGGAAAAGGGTGAGGAGCCAAGTGTCATCCCCAACCTGTGGGGATGCCTGGCCAGCAGCGCCTCAGGCTTGACCCTGCAAAAGGGTCCTGGGTCAGCTGGAGGGTGTTGGCTGGGCCTGGGCTCGGAGCCCAGATGACTGGACAGGGGCCGCCTGGGCCACAAGCCCAGCCTGAAGGACCTCACATGTCCAGCCAGGCTCTCCCCCAGCCCATTACTGTGTTTGGGGTAAAAACAGACTGAGTTACTATGACAACCTGGAACTGGGGCTCCCAGGATTTCGGCCTGTCCTCCCTCCAGAGGGCAGCCCTGGCTGCTCAGCTGACGCGTCCTGTCCCAGGGTCCCTGGGGCTGATCCCAGCATTATCCAGGCAGTGTAATGCATGAACAAGGATTTTGGAGAAAGATTACCTGAATTGGATTCCCTGCCTTGCCTTTTATTAGTGAATGTCTTTGGTACATAACAACCACTCTGAGTCTTAGTTTCCTCATCTATAAAATGGGAAACTCCGACCTACTCAAGCCAAATATGAGGATAAACGAGATGATGTTCTCAATGCCTGGTCCATAGTAAACATGCCTGTTCTTTGTGCCTTGCTCCTTTCCCCATTTACAGTGCCCTTTCCTTCTGCTCTCCCCTGATTTGATCCCATCTTGTTCCCGTTGCTCTTTCTCCTTTTTGACCCCAGCTGAGGAAAGTGCTTGAAGTGCTGGCATCTCAGACTGGAGGCTCTGGAGTGTGGTGGGTTTCACCTTTGCTGTGTGGCAAGGGGCAGCTGGCAGTTGGGTGTGAATTAGGAGCCGGGCCTCTCTTGACTGAGGGAGTAGGGTGGTGGGAAGGAGGCATGGCGAGTGGGTATACGTACCGTGGGGGAAGGCAGGTCAGGCTCTGGGCTGCTGCCCTCCAGGCCCATGTGGATCTCCATTCCTCAGGCCACACACCCAATCGAAGGCCACCTCAGCATGCCAGGCCACTCCTGTTCATCAGCCTATTTCTATCCTGGACCCTCATGTCTTTTTTTTTTGTCCTGTTTTCTTTGTGCCACCACTTCCCTGTTTTCTGTCCTCAGGATCCCTGCCTTTGGTTTCTCTGTCATCCCTGACCCCATTGTCCCTCCCTTCCTCTAGACTTCTTTCCTGCCTTTCTTTGCTCTCTACCCCCACCACGAGTTATCACTTTCTCTTTTTGACCGTTTATTCTTTGTTCAGGGAGCCCTGGTGGTGCAATGGTCAAGCGCTCAGCTGCTAACCAAAAGGTCAATGGTTCAAACCCACCAGCTGCTCCACGGGAGAAAGATGGGGCACTCTGCTTCTTTAAAGATTTACAGCCTTGGGCACCGTATGGGGCAGTTCTGCTCTGTCCTGTCGGTCGCTATGAGTTAGAATCGACTCGATGGCAGTGGGTTTTGTTTGGATTCTTTGTTCATTTTATTGGTTTCTTGCTTCTTTTGTATTTTTCCCTTTCTCCTCCTCTGCTTCACTGTCTCTCTTTCCTTGATTTTTTCCTGTCAGTGTTCTCATCTCCCGCTGCTGAACCTGGGCTTGCCTTCTCTCTTTTTCATGCCACCCCTCCTCTTTCCCTTCCCATTCCTTTGTCCACATTCCTTGTCCCTTTCCA